ACGCGTAAAGCAAGAACTCGCAGCAGCCTGAAGCTGACTAACCATCAGGCGGTCCGGTCGCAGCGTAACGCTGTCGCTATGTAACAAATGCTGCTATTCTCGACCGCGACCATTAAATATCCCACACGGCGTTCATGCTGCTGTATGTAACGTTTCACCTACCGCCAGTACGACGCGCGGTTTGCACTCTGGACAGTTCAGTACCAGCTCTAGTATTGTTCTTGTCTGTATCTCAGTTAATGTGCTGTATTCCGTTCCTTTGTCTTTTTTCATGTTTTGTGTAATTTTATATTGGCCGACGTGATGCCATTCTTACGCGATGCCATGTACTTTTGCAGTGCGTACGTTACCTGAACCAGAGTGCCAGCAGTTTTCTGCAGGTTTCTTATTGCGCCTTGTCCAACGTGTTTTGCCTACTTACGGGCCGGCAAGTTATACAGCATTCTTGCTTCCCTTGCGTGTGCTGATTGTCATTTGAGAAACGATAGTTCTAACGCCATATTTAGATGTCAGTTGAAGCGTGTATCATATCGCAAATGTAACGTTGCTGTTTGTCTCATATTCTCGTTTTTTGGCAGCTGCATTTATTACATGTTTGATTGTTCAGCGTTTCAGTTTTGTTTTGCATATGTTATTTACTGAAAGGAATTAAAATTTTGTTTCTGCACATGTTATGCGTCGATAAGTGAAGTTGAGCGAAATCTGAATGCCGTCCGCCAAAGGCAACTACATATCTGTATTAGCGTCTACCTAGAAACAGAAAGATTTGGCTCGCATTATCTTGAAGTGGTCACTTGCTGTATGCTGCACTAAGCAGTTAGGCGACTAAAATATGTTCGCAGTTGAACAACTCCCTCAGAACCTTTCAGTTATTATGCCGTGGCTAGCCGTTTTCTCCTTGTTTCCTTGTCTTAATGAACTTGTAGCTATTACCGAGAGTCACAAATATATGCGAGTTGACGTAGTCTAAGTGTGAAAGTTTAAATAAAATAGTAGGAAAGTAATATATGTAGAGGTGGGTGAATGATTCGAAACTTACCCCGCACCGAAATAGTCCTGAAAATCCTCATCCATGGAAGCAGTCCTTAAAATTCTCTGCAATACAAATTTTTTGATTCGACGTTTCATTATTAGTGATGGCATTTTTCTTGTAAACTGTCAAGATTGTGATCAATCGATCTGGAAAAATCGCTGCTTGCCAGTGATTCGTTAGACTTTCGTTTCCTGAAACTGCGCACGTTACATCACCGGTGAATAAACGAGGTTATATTCTAATTTGGAAGATTTGCTTGTAACTCTCTGGTGATAAAAGATGTTCTTTGAAGAGATAAGCGTTTATTTGATGTCCGTCGTCGGAAGTTAGCTCTGTTGATAACGCATAGTAACTTAATCTGATATACATTTGGCAAAATCTATGCGCACAAAGACCATAACGTTATCAAACAGTCGTTTTGTAAATTAGTCGCACTGATGCCGAGGCACGAGTAACCTCTCGAAAATATGCTATTTTTGTTTAATGTATGATAATAAGATAAGTTAGTATAATAAAAGTATGCAACCTGTTTTTGAGTTTACACGTTGTGTTGATCACCACACTAGATAGTCAGCAATCAGGTGGGTCAAAGCGCATTGAAATCTAGGAGTTTGCATCAGACAGCCTAGTTTTACTTAGTGTGCAGTCACACCAGAATACTACGTTTCCTTATCAACCGCTTTCTATATGCTTCTTCGCTAGCTGCACCGAAGTGAGAGGTGAATTCTCTGCTAAAGGAAATTAGCGAATAAGAGGCTGTTTCCTCTTCTCGAGATTCGAGGCGGCACTTCTACAATTTGAAGATGACTATTTGCCACTGTTTCACCGCTCATTTTCGGTGCATTTTTAGTGGTGAAACAAGCAAATAATCTTCAGGGCAAATGTACTGATGGAGAGTTTGGCTCCTTAAATGTGCTTTGATTAATACAGTTTATTAAATGTTCCTCTGTTACAAGCATGACAGACCCATATGATCAGTGTTCGCTTCGATTCCATGAGTTGATGTTGTCGCTGAGCTGAATTATTACGCTTTAGTATGTTCTGTTTCAGTCAACTGATTTCCGTCAATACGCCAGCACCAGTAATCGGCATAATATGACTCTGACGCGTCACCAATAACGCTCATTAGATTCCAGCATTGTACTGTTAGAAAGTAATCTCTCTCCGTTTAGCATAGTTCCTACTATCATTGTTCATTCCGCTTGGCCACTTTTACGTATCTCCATTAATTGCTCAATACATACGGCTCCATCAAGAACCATTCTTATTTAGGTAGAATTGAAGCAAAGGTTTTCTGAAAGAGCATCTAAAGAAATTTTATTAGCATATATGATCCATCAAACTACATAATAACATCGCTATAACTTCTACGTCAAACTGAAGAAAGCGTTAATCTGGAATCGCAACGACGTTCTATATGGTTGCAAAACAAATCGATCTTTGAGTCTCGTTTCTTCATCTCTTTCGGCATACATTTCGGCCTCTATTCGCTAAATATAATGTACAGTGCATATATAATGCCTGGAATGTATCCAAGTAGAGTAAGGACAATGCTTATCGCAACTTGCCAGGTGCAACAGCCTGTTGTCATCGCAACTCCAATGGGCTAGAAATGAGAGCAAAACATAAATCTTTCGTAATGGCGCAGTACAGCGTAAAAACACTCTTTTTAATCCAGAGCTTATTTTGGCAAGTAATAAAAAAGAAAGTCTGTAACCGTTGGAATGTCAGTCATCCTTAAACTTTAATGATGGGGCCATTTCTGGAGCACTTCATTTCATAAAGTTACTGGTTGGGCACTAATCTCCATGCATCAGCCGAGAGCAGTTATATGGTAAGCACAGTGTGTGGTCATTTTTTCATACTGGCACTCTTTATCTATTTCGAAAGGAAGAAAAACGAGTGACTCGAGAGGGATTCGAACCCAGGACCCTGTGATTCTGAATCCGATGTAGTAATTCCGATCTATGTTTTGACAAATAAACTCAGACAGATTTGATTAAACTGTTAACCAGTTACCGACTTGTACCTGGCAAGATATCTGGCAATCACTCACCTACAGATATTCACTGAATCACGCAATATTCAAGCGCAGCTGGAAGAATATTAATCGAATGCAACCTTTCGTTATCCTCTTTCCAACTGTTAGGTACTGCTTGTCTGAAATTGTGGACAAGTTTGCTTCACACAGTTTCATTCAAAATTTTCGCTTTCGCTCGCGCAAAACGAGCTCCTTAAACGTCAAAGGCAGTGTAAGCGTGATATGTTTCCAATACCTCTTGAAGACGCAAATGTTGAATAAATTAGCGCCATAACAGTGGATTATTCCCTGAACAGTTTTCTCCCTTTTTGAAACGGTGTGATTAAACGAGACGACGTAGCCTCTTTCAGTGCAGACTTGCCTTATTCCGCCCACATAAGTCACCTAACCTGTATCGACAATCAACTGTTCAGAATGAAAAACAAAAAGATCTTGTCCTGTTCTCGGATATGAGAACGTCTTTAATGATCAGTATGATGTCCACTCGATAAGTGACCAGCAGGACCAAACTCAGTCTTACAGAATGTTAGGAAATGTCATTTGCAATAGCCCACTGGTAACACTGAACACTGAATTTGAAAATACGATTTTCATGCACTCAAATCTGCCATGATTCCCCATCCTATCCTAGAAACATGGAGTATAACCTTAACGGCCATATCATGCCTTTAGATAAAGCGACTACAACGTCTACTGACGGACGCCAGTGACCCGTCTGTACGAAACTTTGATAGCTAAGGCACGACTGCTGATTCTTTAGATCAGTGATAAGTAGATGAACGCTTTACAACGCTCATGGTGCATCCAGTAAACCTTTTCTGGCTGAACTGTGCCTTCTATCCCTAAATGGCGACAAGGAGGAAGGAGAAACCGGGAAACGACAAAATTTGTCTAAACCGCTGATTTTCTTAAGCAATGAATTTACTCCATGTTAGTTCTGTGCAACTAGCCGAAAAACAGACAGCAAGTCGTTGACTTGCGACCAGAACGTAATGGTCACACTAGAATAGGTGAGACGTTCAACCATACCGTCTGATGCGAGCAACGTTCGTAGCTGGCTGCATTTCGCCTTGACCCATTTTATAGGTTACTACCAAGTATGACAATCAGCAAAAGATGCAACCATCCTTCCTCTTGCAAAGAAAAACAACAAACAAAAAGCAACAAACGTAGGACCGAAATTTCCAGATTTCTCAGTCAAATGATGGCCTCCGAAATGGTGTTTTGCATATCATCTGTGCTGCCATTCCGGTGCAAAAGTCTATTCATCCTATTCATGCTATTTCGGAGCAGGAGATGCAAAATGCGCTTGATTAATCAACATTGTTCAATGTTGCCACACTTTCATAATCACATTACCCGATAAACTGCGATTCAAGACGTAGAGCATCTTCTTGCTCCTAGATACCTAGAGAGCAATTTAAAAAGATTACGTTGTTGTAGTACATTGAAATTTGCAATGCACAAATGCACGTTTATGGTTTCCGCAAAATGAAATAGCAAATAACTCATCCAAGACCAAATTTTACTGCGTATTGCATCACCTCTCTTGCTCATAGTTGCCTAGAAGGGTTAGGGAGTATTCAAACGCTCTATAAATGTGATGATCTGTAATATGTCGCTCTTTGAACATGGATCGAGCATAATCTGAAATGTACTTCTTTCAATGAACTTCATATGCAATATAATCCCGAACATAGATTAATGGATTTGTCGAACTTTGAACAAAATTCCCGCATAAAAAAA